CAGATATGTGGTCGTGTGACAAAGAGTAGAGATCTTATCGCGTGTACCCGCAAAGAAATTGTTTTGGCTGCATTTTAATATATTTATTTTGTTTGCTATGAAGACTGTGCGTAAACATCTGCCAGTTACAGTTAGTTTTGCTCCTCAAATCAGCATTAAGCTTTAGAAAAGCTTATCCTATTTTGATTTCTTTTATTGCGTGGCTATATTCTTTTTACTCATGTTTTATGTCTTTTCATTTTATTGTTGTATGGTTTATATGTAATTTTCGCACCTCATTTGTGAGCTGTTATGTCTTTTGATTTATTATTGTGCTTATTTATTCTCCTGCACAACAACTTGGTTGTTTTAAAGTTGGACTGGATACAAGCTTCTATCCCACAGTCACACGTTTGGGCCTGAAAACAGGTAACCTCCCATCAAAATACAGTCAAAATACACAAACAATTGCAGAGGCAATAGACGAGACAGACACACAACCAGTGGTAAATACTAGCTGCTGCTCTCAGCTAAAAAGCTTACAGATTTGTCGATATTAGCACCACCAGCGAATACTGCCCTGGTTGGTTCAAATCCTGTAGCTACAACAGCCTGAGGGTGGGTGTGAGATGAAATGTTGCGAGCCAAGGATCCCTCTTAGAGTAAAACACTTGAAGCTTGTATAAATATATGATTATGTCATCACGGATTAGGTGGTGGTTTTCTGTATTTCAACCTGTGGTGGACTGGTATGGACGCAGCAGGCCATCAGCGCCACACAAAGTCCTCTTGCTGGGATTAACCAACTCTGCATATGATGTCATCCGGGCTAAATCTGATCTGTGCTCCGACGCAGCTGAGAAAGATCACAACTGACCTCAGTGACTGGATGGAGTAACGACCATCAAACGAAGAGGGGGGAAAAAGGAAAACTATAAATGAATCGATGCAATGAGAATTTTAAAAAGGGTTGCAAATGACAGACATGAAGACGTAAACCACAGCTACAGCCTAAACACGTTATGCTGCATATCTAGTATCTGGTTCAAACTTAAAATATTAATTCAAAATGAGAAACAAACAGAAAACTTACATATCATGTGATATCGCTGAACAATCCCGGTGCAAACACACCACCTAGAATCACATCTAGTGTATTCTGACAAATTATTACACACGAATGGTCACTGCGATCATAATTATCTGCCATCTTATGAGTCCAAGTTATGTATTTTGCTGCAGTTTTAGAAATAAAACGATCACCAGAAAACAAATCTGGTAGAAATCCACTGGTTCCAGATTCAGTTCTTTCATTTTCTACATTAAACTGAAGAC